ACAACGCGTATTTCCTTATGTATTACAAAAAAAACAAAATTTTTATTGACCACCATTTTTTTCTTAACACACTGTATATATGTAATAGTAATAGTAATAGTAATAGTAATAATAAGCATCATAACAAAAGATTGAGTTTTATCAAAATTGCTGAAGTTGGGAACGAATATCGTATCCTTGAGATGTCCTGATAAATAATATACGTTTTCACATGTTACTAGTACACTTTTATCTAACCATGTCATATCGGTGTATTCTATGCATTAGTGGCGAGATATGGAAAAATCCCGCATTTATGACTAGTACATCTTGCAGTGAACAAAGTGAAGGTACTTATGTCACAGACGTTATAGTTCCTTTGCTTCGATCGAGTTTGGGAGGGTTTGCTTAAGTACGGCAGAGCGACAGAGTCTAGCAAGCAAAGCTAGACGAAGGATGAAGAGCGAATGGGAAAAAAGCCTGATATTATGGGGTTGTTGAAATGGGATGAAAAGATTTTAGAGTTGATGTACATCGAGTCTTCACGTATCATCTGTACTAATTCGAAAAAAATAGATGATGGCGTAAAATTATGGAGAGAGACATTAGATGGGATGAGTTTTATAGATGCATCGTGTAGACCAGTCAGAAACCAATTTGGGATCGTAGGGCTCCAGATTGCCGGTACGGACTTGCGTCTCAATGTTCTAGTAAAGGACTTGGGCGGTATACCAAGATATTTCCACTTAGACCATTCTGAAATTCCATTAACACCATATACGTCACACACTAAATCTCTAGTTCGTTTATTATTAACCTTAAGAAATATAATGATCGTTAACAAAAGCTTATTAGTGCAGGCATTAGAACAAGCTAATACTCATCCACCCCAAAATGTTAACCCAAGTCCTACCGTTTCATCTCCACCCTATAATTATTAGGTAAATATAGAGATATTGTATAAATTATCATGTATTTTTATTGTATCGGTCATACTGGCTTTGCTAATAAAGGATTCGGGATTATATATTATGTCATGTGGTGTGTCTTGTATTGGGATAAAAGTTATACATATGCCTTGGCATGAGCTCCGCTCTTAATGTGATGCATGGACACATGATTGAGTATCAAGTTGTACACCCCGAAATAGATTTCACACCTGAAATAGATTATGTAACGACCTAGATATAGAATGACGCATTATCAATAAGCCAACTAAACTTCTATGTCGATCTCGACGTGATGTGATTGGTTGATTTAATGAATAAAGTTTCTCGATCGATGTCATAGTGACAGCGGAAAAATTTTTACCCGTGCATCAGACGAAAATACGAAAATGACGAGTTTATATAATGATACAGATTTTTATTCGCATTCAAGTATTTCGTCTAATGCAAGCCTTACTACCGCAACCCAAAGGTGAATAGTTATATGCAACTGTGTTCCTATCCTTTTCTTTTATCCTAAAACCACTAAATATTATTAACATACAATACTCTCTAAAATATCTTGCTTTAGTTCTACTGTTTCAACTGCCACAACTTCTTCCCATATGCAGTCGACCCCACTTCGGTTGAGCAAAGAGTCCCTTAATCAAGCCAGGGACCGCTTACTTGCATTCCAAAAGGGGGAAATGGAAGCGAACGAGGATATGAAGCCAATAATTATCAAGAAAAATGTGTCACTCAAAGCCTACATCAAATATTGTGAAATTGAGCGAAAGCTCCCTGTTAGGATTCGTTTGGTTGAAGGAAAAATTATAGCTCATGAATTACCTCTCACGTCCCATGCAACAGTATCATGGAGAATTGGATTCTTGATATGTACCTGGAATAATCAACTACGTGGTGCACAAGAGGAGGATCTTATTGTGGGACCGAATAGTTACTATACTGCTGATCTTACCATCCGACCACGAGGACGTCCTAGACCTATACCTGGCCAGGGATCTAATTCAGAAGGGAGACCATATCCAACGCTGGTTGTTGAAGTTGGCAACAGCGAGTCTGTTCCTAGTTTACATGATCTCTCGACAGGTTACTTTTCTCCACGAACGACTATTCAAATTTATCTTGCAATCAAAATATTTCCCATTCGTCAAGATGGCACAAGGGCAATGCTTGCACTGCGCTACCTACGTACAAATCAAATTAATACGGTGCCGGACATCATCATATCTTTTGGTACGGCGCCTCTCCATCCTAATACAATAGGATTTCTTATGAATATTGGTGTTCCACTTGCTAACATCGTTGGCGTCAATACCTCTGGAATTCCGATTTATCAATTGCATATTCCTGCCATTGAACTTTTTAATGGTGCCTTTGGAGGCATCCCTGCTGGGGCAGTTAATGGGTTTTATTTGGATTTATGGGAATTACAAAATATAGTATTGAATGATTTTTAGCAGGAATGATTAGACAAGGATCAAACCTTTACGAATTCTCTTTGCATAGTTATTTCTTGAGTTGATCCTGTCCTATATGCAATAAAGATCATAAAAAAGAAAATATAAGAGATAATATAGAAGGTAGATGGGGTAGTGGTGATTATGTCAATACAAGAACTTATCGTCTGCAATGCTGTGAGGCCTATCAAAATTCAATCCAAATAGTAACGGTGAAAGCATAGACTACCGATTTCGAATAGCGGAGCTAGTGCTAATGCACATATTAATGTCATCTGAAGGCCTGACCAATTCAACTTGATATTCACTACCATAATCAGTTTTTTCGGATAATCGTTGCGCATTATCAATCTTGAAATAAAACACATGATATTGCTCCCCTGAGGCCCATGATAACGTGATGTGATTTCGCAGTTACGATGTTGTTATAATTATTTTCAGATTGAATTTGCTATATTCACTTAATTTATATATTTATACGTTATTTTCTGCATTAATATATTTGACTAGTTAAGATATTTTATTATAGCAAATATGATAGGTAGTACTAATAATAAATCCAATCAAAGCGAAACATTTGCTTCTTTATATGGATACTTTTATATAAAGAGAAGGATATAATAGCAATTCAAGGAAAACTTGGTATTAATAGTAATACGTTAAAGCAAATAGAACACGAGCCCGATGGAAAAACACTCGCTGATTCATATAAGTTGCTATTATATTTGGTGGGAGATTTAATACTGATACAGAAAAATTTCGACATTGATGGCAGTGGAATATAATAATGTGGCAAATCAAAACAATAGAGATTCTTCCAATTTGTCACTTTCGAAATTATTTAATTTGCTTTTATACTTGGAAGAGGATATAAACACAATCCAGGAAAAAATCGGTATTCTTGGCTATACTAATCAAGAAATGGCAGAAGAAGCCGATAAAAATGCGAGGGTGTACCTTCGAAAGTTTGAGAAATTTCACGGTCCCTTAGAAGATGATCCAGGTGTGCTAATAAAGAAATTTGTTGATAGGGGGGTAAAGAAATTTTGGTTTACTGGTGAGGGACTACCATTATTTCCGAATGTCTCTCTTCAACAATTGCACGAAATTTTCGTCAAAAAATCGGCTAGCGTCAATCAGTGCCCATGTCTAGAATCAAAAGTAAAACAAGGAAAATTATCACAGATATATATACGTCACAGCAAATAAAAATTCTGTCTGAAATTAGTCGGAGACTGTCGAATACCTAATTACCCGCTCTACCTATTCTTCTATAGTCAGAATAATGCGCATCCTGCGGTATTATTTAATGATGTATATTATAACCGAAAAAATAACTCATCCATTCTCCTCTACTAAATATAATTATTTGTAATCCACGATGTGCATTTTCCGGATATTCTTAATTACACTTAACCTCACAACTAGTTCCATCGAGTAATGTAAGAGTTTTATTCAGGAAGTCCAGCTTCATTGCATTATCTTTAAACCATGGGTTCCCTAACATCAGTACAGATTCAAGTTCGGGTTTATTGGTAACGAAAACATCAGTAACTTTTACTTGTTTTGATTTATTATCTTTGGATTGAAAAGACGGATTTATTTCATGGAGCACCCCTATTATTGGTAACCTATCTCCTGTAGTCAAAATATATGGCGATTTTTCAGATTCTATATCGGGGTTATCGATTTCCAAACCTAACTCATCTACTAAGCTCTTACTTATAACATTGCAATTAGCACCGGAATCTAATATAGCTGTGATTGGTACTTTATTGATTTCGCAGGATAAAGTTATCATTGTGATGTTTTATTATAACAATATATTTAATTCTGCATTTTAAATTCGTATTAATAAAATAATTTAACATTTACAATGACCAAAGCTGATAATCCTGAGACAATACAAAGTGTCTGTAAAAAATTACCCAATATTACTGATAAAGCAGTATCTGGCATTGTTAAACAAGTATTGGGTAAAAAAATCTGGATTTCTCTTCATATTCACCAATTACTGGAGATAGTAAAACCCAAGATTCAGCAGGATATTATAAATTTGATAGTAAACCCTGATATTTCTCGAAGAAATCATATACCATGCAAGACTAAAAGAAAAAAGAAAATTTTAAATGATACTACATCTTCATCCTCATCCTCACCTTCATCTGGATCTGACTCTGAATCGTCTAGCTACGAAGTGACCACCCCCGGCAATGATGATAAAGATTTTACTGTGAATGTGGTGAAAGCAAAGAAGCGTGATTAGTAATTATATAAGTCTATAATATCCTCGACTTCATCATTCTCTTGGTATTTCTTATTACAATATGACATAGTTTATACCTATATTAAGATCTTTTTGGGATGATCCATGAATTTGCAGAAGGGATTTTGATATGCAAAGATCATATTCAAGCAGGCCTTCGACATTACTTGTTTAGTGTATTTCTGATCGATTTTTGATAGAAAGAAAGAGCACAAAATCTTTTTTGCAAGGATACTCATTATATGTCAGTGGTAATGTTTTATTTTGTAATATGATATCTTGTGAGATGTATGTGATTTGGATAAGATGATTATTTGCGATGAAAAAATATGTGCTGTACATTTATTTCAACTTTAAAGTCGATGAGAGAAAATTATATGTTTACTACCTTAAAACTTATTTTTAATAATTGACTAATAGTTGTCAACTCTTATAAATTATAGGCACATATCAAGTTTCAGAGATACTGAGAGAAGATGAAATCAATAGAATCAATCTCAGAGCACTCATTCTCTTTGATAGGTTGTTGAATGTTAGACAGGAGCTTGCTTACCATCCAGTGCTGAATCCCCTAAAATGTCATCTGATCAAAGTAATCTATCTCTGACTGTCCATATCTGTCTTTCAATAAGATATTATATGAGTTCAGTTTGCGGGAGGGATTTGGAGTCATTTCAGACCATTTGCATCTTTTCCAACAAATTGTTTAGATGCTATGTGAAGGTCCTCTTGTACTTGCAGCTGATCTTATAAAGTACCCAAGCAGATAATGTGAGTGGAATTCTGTGGGAGGGATTTGGTGTCATAATGATACCTGAAGATTGTATTACAGTAAATTAGTCATATGTAAATTTATACTAATGATGTAACAAACTTTTACTCACCCTACATATGTCTTCTTTTGTGATGTTTGTTATTGAACCAAACATTCTTATTATATCGTCTTTGGACAGTTTGTATAGGGGTGCTTGCACAGAGAATGAAAAATTTAATTAATAGCTATGCAGCAGGCACAAGGCATTGAACTATGAGATATGATGTTTTATATAAATTGATTTACTTGGAAAAGTCATGAGATTTTAAGTATATGACCATAATGGTTTCCTCAGATGATGATATTATTTTGTATGCTGAGATGATGTAATGTTATTGGATGATCTTTCGGATTTTACAAGTAAGCATCAGTTCACATGCTATAATATATACGTATCAGTATGTGTAAATTTGTTTATTAACTTATTTGGTAGTATGCTATGGGCTATGGTAACTAAGGTAAATACTGTATGTAAGACTATAGTGTTGAAAGTTAAGATTGGTTCATTTTGATTTTTTGTATCATCCAATAAATTATAACTACCCACATAACATATCATTCATTGTTATTGCAAAGACATAAAAACAGATACCAATTATACATGTGATGATTTCATGCTCAAATCATATAAACATTTATTAGTTTCTTTATATTGAGCGTAATATTGAAGGGTAATTCATTTTTCTTTCAAAAGTACATATTTACACCAATAGTGCAGTATGAACACACCCAAACTATTGAATTCAATTGTGCCTTATTGTAGAAGTTCATGAATTTCATTAACAATGGATAATCTTATATTAATAAAATAAACTGAAAATCCTAAAAGCATATGTAAAGCAGAAACTATCACCAGCAGCAGTAACAGTAACAGCCAACAATTCTTCATCTCATATCAAACTTCTCACATCAAATCTACATCCACTACCATCACCTGCCATTTGAAGTTGACAGTAAATGTGAGTGAGATTTAAGGTGATGCTGCGATGGTTGCTTTCTTGATGGTCTTTTTTTTCTGTTGGATGGTGATGTGGCCTTAATTGGAGTAGAGGAAGAGCTATCTGAAGCTAGAGTGGCCGGAGATGGTGGTTCATTGCTTGATGGTGAAGGAATTATAGGTTGAGACGGAGCATGTTCTTCAGCAGGTTTTGCCTTTTTGTATTGAGCATGTCTGTTTTTTTTGTCATCATTATCTTTGATCCAAATTGCTAGGTTTCTCTTTATGCTTTCAGTTTTGGTTCCTATCTGAGACACAAAATCGAAATGATGGATTTCACAATACCTGGCTTTCGTTGATCTCTAATTCTCCGGTGATTATTAATTTCGATCCTTTTTTTGCCAATGAACTTTTGCCCATAAGTCTTTGATATGTTTGTATGATGAGAACAAAAAATATTGATTTCGAACCATTTCAGACCGTTTGCATCTTTTCTAACAAATTGGCTGATCTTTTAAAATACCCAAAGCAGATAATGTGAGTGAAATTCTGTGGGATCATAATGTGTGTTTTGGCATCTGTATGCCGTACCTGAAGATTGTATTACAGTAAATTAGCCATATGTAAATTTATATCAATGATATAACAAATTTTTACTCACCTCACATATGTCGTCTTTCGTGATGTTTGTTATTGAACCAAACATTCTTATTATATCGTCTTTGGACGGTTTATATAGGGGTGCTTGCACAGAGAATGAAAATTTTGATTAATAGTTTTATATGCGTACATACGAAATAGTACGCAGACGCAACACATTGAACTATGAGATATTCGTGAGCTGTCTCGGTTATTTGTTTTACTAGACAAGTGGTGTCGAGGTGTATGAACATTTTTTTCTATAAGGGACGTCTTGGTAATTTCTTGATTGTGTGTTTTGTTTGTTGGGAGAATGGTGTTTCGGTCGGAATACACAGTGAAATTCACTTTAACGAAGTCGTCCGTTCCGCAAAATTTCTTCGGTAATCTGAAAGATTCGTTATTCCGAAAGTAAGCAATATTTCACGTGATTTTGGTCAATGCAAATATCCAATAAAAATTGTTGATTTTATTATGGCGATCAAATTTTATTTCGATTAAATATAATCACGAATGACTGTTTGTCTTCTTTTCTGCATAATATTTCCAAGAATACTTTTACGTAACTTGTTTACAGTCTGCAATTCTATATTTAATTCCTCTTGTCGTAAATATAATAGAAGACTGTCAACACTATTAATAGCTTCTGCTGATGACACCTTTCTCACTTCCTCCTCCTCCTCCTCCTCCTCCTCCTCTTCTTCTTCATCCGAATGTCCTTGAATAGTTGCTATGATTTCTCTTATAATGCGCGAGTCTCGTTCTTCATTATAATCAGTGACATTATAAATACCTTCCTCCAAATCAATATAATCACGGACTGTATTCATGGGTTCTTCCGACGATAGCTGCGCTACTAAATTGATTACTTCAGATTCGAGATTTTCTTCAGCTTCATTGGTCATCGGCTGCACCGTCAGTGGCAAAATTCCACTCTTCTGCCGTGACGATTGTATTACTCTTTGTTTCACCCGATCCCAAGCCCCAGCTGCAAAGTTAATGGCATTAAGAATCGTCAACGGAGGTAACTGTTGAGATGATATAGATGTTTCTGTGGTAAATTCCATATGAGTACGTAATACATCATATTCTTCAATTCGATTCTCACATAGTAGTGACCTGTAATGTGCCTATTACAAAGAGATTAAGAACATGCGTTAAATAAAAAAAAACGAGTTAAATAGGATTAAGAATGAGAAATCGCTTACTTTTAAGCTGTATATAATGCCTTGTATTTGGAGGTAAGAAGTGAAGTTTAATATTAGTTAGATTATTAATTACTTCTTCAGGTTTATGCGATGTTGCATTGTCAGCAAGCAGCAAAATGTGGCGATTAGCACATCTCATCATTGAATCTAAACGGTTGAGGTAATGTCCAAAAATTGATCGCACCATCCAAGCCTTGGCATTCCAATAATACCAAACTGGAAGGCTTGACTTTGAATTCCTTTTAGACATCGTGGCGTTTGACTTCGGTGAATAAATAATAATGGTAGCTTGTGGTCTCCGGTTGCATTACATGTAACCATAATCGAAACACGATCTTTAAGTCGTTTCGTTCCAGAGATCAGTGCATGAGCTAGAGTATGATTTGGTTCGGCTTTCCAAAAAAGAGCCGTTTCATCACAGTTGTATATATCACTGAGTTCATACTGTGAAAGAATTTGTTGAAGTTCAATGCGCTGTTGTGGAAGCTGTGATTTGTCTACACTATCTAATTCATCTCTGCGTCAATAAACTCGTAAATCATTTCGTTGTCGAAATTTAAAGAGCCATCCATCTGAAGCTAAAAAATTTCTAATTCCCATTAACTCAGCTAATTTCTTCGCTTTGTTTTGTAAAATATTACCATTAAAGGTGATACCATCGTGAATTGCCTGCTCCGCCCATAAAGATACAGCTTCTTCAATTTGAGGAAAAAAACTCTTGCGTTCTCGTTTTGAATTCTTCTGAGGTGAGTCATCCTCAAATGCTAACCATCTGTCTTTTGCTTTCAATATTTCACTAACAGTAGATTCCCCAATGCCATACTCATTCACTATCTCAATATTTTTCAAACGTGGATTACTGTCTTTCTTCTGACACAGCTCCTTTTTTGGGGCAAGCATACAGTAACGTGCAAAAGTATCCTACCGGTTGTATCATCTAAACGTACATAATAATAACTCCTTAAATTTTCCA